TTAATTTTAAAATCTCTGAATTCATTTAGCTGTATTTCTTTTGTAGTTAATTGTAATAATTTTTTTTTGGAATGGAATATTAGTGATTTTTTTTTAAATTGTTTTATATCCTTCATATCAAATTTCAATTATAAATTTATAATTAAATATGGAGATAAGTAATTTTAACAAACTATTGTCCTTTTTCCTCAAACGCCTCTGACTATTTTCTTTGCATCAGAAATCTCGGCCCTAAGCATGTCGCGAGATAAAGTCAAAAGAATGCTGGTGACGCTAATGTGATCCTGATTTTTAACGTCACAGCCGCAAATCTTTAGGTATTATTTACTAATTAATTTTTTAATAGGGATTTATCTCAAATTTTCTCAATTTTAAACGCGAGCGTGACCCTTAAGAAAAATCAAGAGCAACCCTTGACTGTTAAAGAAACAAATCAAATCAAGTATTTAACGCCCAAACAAAAGTCTCAACTTGAATATCGCTATAATTATATAATGCTACCTCATATCTTTAATATAATATCTAATTAATTTTTGAAGATATTAAAAAATTAGTTAAATTAATTATTTATAGTAAATATATATCATCTTTCCTAAAATGTTTTTATTAGTCATATCATATGTAATTGAATTCCAAATTGATTTAAGAGCAAAATAGATAAATATTAGAGAAAAGTATACTGAAATTTTATATTTAGAATCAAATTAAAAGTTAAACTAGTTCTTATATTAAGAATAAGAAGCATTAATATTTTTCTTTTTCTTTTTTAAAAAAACTTGTTTAAGAGAGCTTAATCTGTTTTTTTTTGCAACTCGCAATAGTAATTAGGCACGCTACTGTCATGCGCGGAATTTTTTTTTTTTGGAAAAAATTATATTATTTATCATTTATGCTACATAATGGTGATAATTTCGATTATAGATTTCACATTGTATATCGAAAAAATTGACTTATTATATCATTTACAATAATTTTTTTTTATCAAATATTAGACATTAATGAGGAGTCTTTTATAATTGCCAGTCACAGAGTATTGAGAGCAGGGGACGGGGACGAACCATGAATCATCCTGATATCATTGGATTCTTTTAAGTATGTTTGAAAATTAAGGGCGCTTACTAACATTAAGTTACTTTACGGGTAATCATTGTTATTTACCCTATAATCTTCCACCTCTGACATTTTTACGTGTGTCGATGCTCACAAAGCCTCACGCCAACTCATGGTTTGATTCTCTTTCTTCCTTAGGACAACACACAATCTCTCTCACACACAGACGCGAGAAACTGAGAGAGGAAGCGATGGTAAAGGATCGGAAAATCGGCGTCGCCCTTGACTTCTCCAAAAGCAGCAAGAACGCTCTCAAATGGGCTCTGGACAATTTGGCCGATAAGGGCGACAACATTTACATCATCCACATCAATCCCAACTCTCTTGATGAGTCCCGTAACCAGCTTTGGGCTCAATCCGGTTCTCGTGAGTCGTTTTCTTACTCTTTTCCATCGATTTCCTTTTCCTTTCCTTTCATCCCATCACTACTTCTTCATCGGAGCCAACTCGCGTTCCATACGTATCTTATACTTGTATTCTTTTTGTTTCTACATTTCAGTACTTGAGCTTTTTAGATCTGATCTATGAATAGACTTTCTTGTATGTGAGAAGTGTTTGGCATCGAACTGTACACTGATGCTGGATTTTTGGTCATTTCGCTGTATTCTCACCGGCTCGTATTTGATCGGATTTAATTTAGCTTTTTCTTTTATTTTCATTTTTTTCCCAGCTCTTATTCCTTTGTCTGAGTTCAGAGAGCCAGAGATTATGAAGAAGTATGATGTTCAGACAGATATCGAGGTTCTTGATTTGCTCGACACTGGTGCCAGGCAGAAAGAGGTCTGTTCTTTTCCCTTTTTATATCTGATTATTAAAGATTTGATTCCTCAATGCTCTAGCTTAGTTGATTTTTCGATGCTAATCAAGTTAATCGTGGAGCATTCTTTAGTATTTCTGGAGTAAAGTTAAAATATGCTTTCCAGCTTCATGATTAAATTGTTAGTTCAGGGTTCAAGATTCTGCAGATTACGTTGTGGTGTTTATTAATTAGTAAAATTGAGTTATAGGTGAACATTGTGACGAAAATATACTGGGGAGATGCGAGGGAGAAACTTCTGGATGCTGTAGAAGAACTGAAGCTGGATTCTCTGGTTATGGGAAGCAGAGGCCTTAGCACTATCAGAAGGTTCGTGCTTTTCGCCTTTTCCTATTCTTTGATTATTGTACCCCAAACAAGCTAGCGAAAATTATTCAGTCTTTCACGTTATGATGGGTATGGGGAAAATCCACCTGCGTAAGGGGACATTGATTCATTCCTCTTGATAGATCTTAGCTGTTTATCCGGGTCGTTAGAAAACAGTCAGAATTAGCAATTTGATTTTCAAAATTTATTGATAGGGCCTACATTGATTATGTTTAGAAACTTATTTTGGTATCAAAATATTTGTCATTTGATGACAAGGACTAAAGAAGATCAAAAATAATTTGCTCTCACCAAAATATCCTTTTACGAACATATCTTTCTAGCATTAGTAGCCGAATTTAGCGCGTTACTACTTATTTTCAATGATTTTAACCTTGTTGCAGCAATTTGTTTTATTTTTTTTATAACAGTAACAATGATATATGAGCGTGTGTCTAAAGTATGGATAACTTTCTCACTCACTCTGTAAGAATAAATAGTAACCATTAGAAATATAACCAAGCGTAGTATATACAAGAGCTTTCAAAAATTTACCAACATTCTCCTTGTAGTAGTTAGAAAAAGTTGCAAGTTTGTTGTAGTGAAATCAAAATGGTTGAAGCCGGGTAGTAATATTAGAAAGATTAGCTAGCTTCTCTTTTAGCCAAAAACACATTTGGGTGAAAGTGGGCCACCCCCTACGGGTCACTTAGTCCTTTTTGCCGGTATTGATTAGCTGATAATTGACTTTTCCTAATTTATTGATGGAAATATTAGACACCCACACACATCGCTCAACTATTTGGTGGGAGAGAATGTCTTCCTCTTCCATGTTAACGTACTGTGATCTGGGTCTAATGAACAACTTTGCTTGGTTGATTGTTACGAAACAGGATAATATTGGGAAGTGTGAGCAACTTTGTGATGACTCATGCCCCTTGCCCAGTGACCATCGTGAAGGATTCAAGCAGCAGCAGCTAAGCCTGATGTCAGTCTGGCCCTAGGATCAACAGTTTGAAACCTGCTAAATCATATTCTATTCTGTTATGGTTATAATGCTAAGATTATCTGTGTTAGACTCTCTTTTCAAAAGAATAATGAAATTTGTGTGCCCCTCTTTTTAGTAATTTCAATTCGGTCCCCGTAATATTTTAACGTGAGAAGCACATCACTTCGAGCTTTATGTTTAGTCGGTGCCGTGGATATCAAAGAGAGTTATGGAAGCAATAAAGTGGTGGAGCAGGCTTCTCTCCCTTAGAATGATGCCTTTTGCTTTTTCTTATCTTCTGGGAATGGTTCTGCTGTACGACGCGCTTCTTCATTTCACATGAGAAAAAAGGGGAGAAAATAAATTAAAAAGAATACGAGTGAAGGACCTACCTCTTCTTTTCCTTGCTAAGAATATTTTTTTTTTCTCATATCTATTAAGTTAAAAAGATAAAATATTCAATTTTTAATTTATATGTAATATAAATATTTTAATAATTCATTATTAATCATGAATAGTGTGGGGCAATGTCGTGCAACTCAGAGTTAGCGCTTTTTTCTTTTTTTAATTTTTTAATTTGCCAGCATATTCAATTTTCCTAATTTCATAAATTTGTAAATATATTTTAGTTCTTTTGGGAAAATCATAACACAAGTCAGGAGCGATGTGGAAAAGCCAAGATAGTTTTTCTTTTGGTTTAACAACCAAGACGTTTTTTTAAACGAAAAAACATAACATTATTTTTTATTTTAAAAAAATAGCACAATTTGGTTTTAAAAAAAAAGGTAAGAAGTTATATATATTTATTTATATATAACAGCAGCATTTCAAAATTTGATGGAAGGAATAAAAAGCACCAATTAGAATGGAAAGAATCACTATTGGGAATGGAATGATATGCTATGCCATCCCGCCAGAGAAAGCAGCTTAAGGATTCCTATTCCCATACATGTTGAGCAATACTAGGTGCCCTTCAGTTGCAGATTTAAGGGAAAATCATATCAATGGAATCCAGTGATTTAAGTGTTCGCAAAAAAGATTGAAATCTAAAAATATAAAAATCATTATTATTTTTAAAAATTAAATCATTATTTTTTTAATAATAATTACCATGTTTTGTAAGAAGTATCATTGAAAGTTAAAAACCAATTATAAAATTTCAACAACTTTTAAAATTAAGTAGTGTTGTGAGCTTTATAAAACCAGCAGCTGCTGCTGCTGATGTAATTTTGAGCTTTTCAAATAATTAGAATACTAATATTTAGATTATCTCAATATTTAAATTTTAAAATCTAAGGTTCTTAATGTGATTTTCCTGGTGTTTAAAATCTATGTTTCCTGTTACTAAAACAAAATTGCCGAGGTTGTGGTAAGTTGGGCTTTGATTTCTCTGAAAACCACGTGCACAGTGATAGGCTTTTGCGACGGAATGGGCTTCAATTCTCTGAGAACCACCCTGCTTCCCCCGCTGAGGAAAAAATTAAAAACAAAAGACCAGACTGTCATCCATTCGGATTTGAGATCCATCCTTTGACCAAATCCTTTGCTTTCAGTGCGAAGCTGAAAAAGGAACTAAATGACTAGCAATTTACTAATTGCTACTTCTGCTTCTTGTACTCTGCATTACAAACTACAAGAACTTATATTAATGATGGAAGGTATTACATCATTTTATTAGTTTATTATGAGGCAAGAGTCAATATATGGTAGCATAACATATTTCTTTTCCACTGGTTGAAGCACTTGTAGCCAAGACATCAAGTCATTTAAGAGAGCATGTTTGAAGGACCAATTAAAGCACATAATTAAAAACCATTAGTGAAATGGCTTAAATTTTATGATTTTATACTGTTAGGGTGCTTGTGTTTTAATGTTTATCTAGCCGTAAACATACGCTTATCCAAAATTTATTTGCTTCATGTGTTTTTGAAACAGGAAGTTGACTTTCAGGAAAAAAAACATGAAGTTAATCTGATATATATTATATCCTACAAGAGAGAAAGCAATGTTTCATTATTTAATTATGATATTATCATATTGGAAAAACGCAGATAATTCAACTTATTCATGGACTCACTCAAAGCTTAATACGTGACGCCACAAAATACAGCTTTATTATTACATAAAACTCCAAGAAGAAGCAGAGAAGAGCATAGAGTTGCAGAGGGTTGCATATATTTATATATAATCTTATTTGGAAGCTGTAATGGCAGCATAGCGAGCTTTGAAGAAACCCAGCAGTCTTGAAGGAGGAGGGAGGTTTTCTTTCACCACAGGGTGGCTGCAGAACTCTCGACTCCACTGATGCAGCTTCGGAAACTTTTGGTGGCTTAACAGTTTCAGACCCACCGCTTCTTCCACTAATGGCAGCCAAAACGCTATGTACGCCGCCGCTATGTCCACAATTCCTATAGTCTCTCCTCCAAAGAACTTGCCTCTCAGCTCCTTCTCCAGATATCCCAGTCCTTCACTCGCTTCTTCAATCGCCTTTTCCCTTTCCTTCTCCTCCGCCGTCCATGCTGCTCCCTGTATTGCAGGCAGCACCTGTCCTCCCAAAAACAAAACACCATGCACAGTTCAATTTTCTATCCATGACTTTTCACATATGGATATATATATATATATATATATATATAAACCACATATCTCATTTTGCAAGACAAACCATATGAAAGCAATTTCAAATTACAAAATGAATATATGAAATCCTACAGTATAGAATACATCATGATCCAAAATAGAAGGAAGGGTATCTAAAGAACACGGTCAGAAGAAAACAATATGAGGATGGTGGCTATAAAAAGGTCGCCAACTGTCAATAAGGGAATGAATTAGATTTTTTGATTTGTTACTCTCACTCAGTCTACTGTCCCAATAGATGATGAGCACCATAAGCTCATCAGATCTGAATCGTCTATATCTGATTTGAATGGTCTAAATTTAAAATATTTAATTAATTATTTTTAAATAAAAAACTATTTTTTTAAAAAAATTGACCATTAAGAGATTATGTTTATTTTAGATTATATACATATTAAAATAATTATTTTGAACAAATAAAAATAAAAAGAAATTAAATCGGATTATTCAAAAGAGATATGAATGATCCAGATCTAATAAGCTTAAGATTCTCATCAAAATGATGAATATCGAAATTAGATCTCTTCAGAACAAGTACCTCATAATAGAATTAGATTTTTTGATATGCTGCTCTCACTCAGTCTAGTGTCCTATTAATAACCTCCTACTAAAGCTCTTAATTAATTACTAAAATGTGACCAAGTAAAACTCTAACCTGACTTGAGCCAAAGCTAACTAACAGCTATCAGCACTTGGGATATTTTAATTAAATAACAAATATGATTGGATTATGTAACAGATTTCTATCTACATCAACTCAAATTCATTCATACTTGACATCTTACAGCACAAGCAATAATTGGGTAGAAGGAAATTAAAGAAAAAGAGATTAAGAGGAGGGAAAGAAGAGACCTGATCATCGATGAACCTTGACCAGAAGCGAGCGAGGGCTCTTTGATAAGGGTCGAGAGGGAGGATGGGGTAAGTTTTCCAGGTCTCATCCATGTATTCAAGTATGACAAGCGACTCAGCTATGGGCTTGTCATTATGAACAAGCACTGGCACCTTCTTGTGGATGGGATTGTACCTGAGAAGAAGTTCACTTTTTTTCCTGATGTCTTCTTCAAAGTGTTGGTACTGAACTCCTTTCAGCTTCAAAGCTATCTGAACCCTGCGAGCGTAAGGGCTTCCTCCTGACCCAAAAAACTTCACTTCTCCATATTCTGCTGCCATCTTCCTTAGCTTCTGAACTAATCTTCAATGATGCATCTGTCTCGGCTCAGAAACTCTGTTTTTATAGAGCCAAACCTGCTGGTAGCAATTCGTAGTTAAATTATGGGTTGGTCAAGGAAGATAGGCGTAAAAGTAATATATAATGAAGAATTGTGTGGGTACGTTTTGTGTAGTATATATACAGGAGTGATGTAAGAGATCATATATTAGCCTGTTTGGTGTTGAAAATTATAAATACTGATCTAGTCCATTGTTACGCTCACATCACTCATTGGAATGAAGTGCTGTTGAATCAAACCATGAAATTGATTTAAAACATTGATTTTCAAGAAATGCTAGCAATTTTGACTTTAAAGAAGACATTAAATTCAATGAAATTGAATGGTTGATATTATATTTATTAACAGCTTAGAGATATTTTTTATATAATATGCTATATTCAGTTCTTAATATAAGAGTTAAATGCCCTATTTATGGATACTCAGAAAATTAGTTAGTGTTATCGTACTTAAAATATTCTTATTAATCATGTGTACTGAAATAATCTTTTGATAAAAATCTTTTAATATGTGTAATCATGATAGAAATTATTATATAAAAAATAGATAAATATGAGAGAAAAAGTAGATTGCTGTCCAAAGAGAAGTTAGAGGAGACGATTTTCAAGTACTTTTTTTTAATGCAGTTCTCCTTCTTCTTCATTGTTTTCAAAAACGACAAATCGCGCAAGAATAAATTATTTTTTCGCATGTTGGTGAAATGTCAATTTTAACTGAGCACTTAAAACAAGGGACAGTCCCTATTGGCGATAAGATAACGTCGTCAAACGTCGGATACATTACCTAGAAAATGGTTTCTTTATTTGTTTTTCCATGGACAACCTATCCGGCCGGCTTAATTACAAGATTATGATATTCAAAATGTCTGACCTTAAATTTAGGAAGCACACGTATTGGATTTTTATTTGAGCCGAGATAGTGCCGCTCTTTTCAATCACAGGAATTAAATTCAAGACTTAGAGGGCATTGGATCTCTTACGCCCCTTAATTCAAATTTCATTAGTAAAGATAACTTACTTCTGAACGCTAAATTAAATTTTACAAATTGTGATGATAATGTTTTTTGTTTTTGAAAATTGTTCCGGGTTAGTAGTAAAATTATTGTACAGTGTCTTAATTTTATCTCATATATTAATCTTTTGAAATGTAATAAATATTCTTAATCTCTGAATTTTGGTATTAAGCTCTACGAAGCATGTCATTAAAATTAGAATAAATTACATTTGTTTTTCCTATCTTCAGCTAAAGTACATCTTTTTTTTAAAAAAAATTAGGGGTTAATATAATTTTTAGTCTCTTAAATTTGCTCTAATTTTCGTTATAGTCTCTCAAGTTTCAAATTATAATTTTTAGTCCCTCAAAGGATAAAATGATCTAAATTTTTACTAGATTACATGAATCAATATTTTAAATTAAAAAAAAATTTAAAAGACAAAACCTATGATTTGAAAATTTAAAGGACTAAAAACAAAATAAAAACAAACTTTAGGCACTAAAGTTTGCACTAACCGATCATTAAAAAAAAAAAAAAGTTTGCATTAACCCAAAAAATTTAGATAGCCATCGTTGGACCCAAAATAGAGTAACTCTGTTTTCGTTATCTGCAGTGCTTAAACTCTCCACTTAGTACCTTCCACTTAATTCAGAATGCTCCATTTTTTTTTCCCAATTACATAATTAATGCTTCATTTCTTCTTGTGTTCCATCAGTAAGATTAGTGTTTGTTTCATCGACGACCAGCAGGTATTAAACCAGAAAAGATCAGAAGAAAAATCATAAGCTCCATATGATTTGAGCTGAGAAATCAAGCTAAGAGCAGAAAAATTAAACCGGAATAGCTTTCACATTTTATGGTTTAACCATTGGAACAACAGAGCCAAACATGAAAAAACAGAACAACTTCTCCTTTATTATAACTAGATAATAGTCTTCCAGAAAAATTCAGAAGACGCAAATCATGAACTCAAACTCTAGCCAGTGCGAGATTTGAAGAATGCAAAGAGTTTATCTCTGGGAGGCAGAGCTTGCTTTACTATAGGATGAGTGGAGAATTCTTGACTCCATTTGTACAGCTTCGGGAATTTCTCAGAAGTGAGCAACTGTAAGCCTGCGATTTCTTGTAATATGTCAACCCAGTAACCCACGAAATTGGCAGAAATATCTACGAGTCCAACGTCGTCTCCTCCGAAGAATCTTTTGTCGCCGATTTCATTCTCCAGTATCTTCAGTGCTTCCATGGCTTCTTCCACAGCCTTCTCACGCCCCTTCTCCTCGCACCAGAACGCATCCCATAACGGAGGCAAGCACTGTGAAAACATCAATTTCTTCAAATGCTCAGTTTCAAATCACAGAATATCGAATACATCGAGAGGAAAAAACGAACCTTTTCATCAACAAGCTTAGACCAGAATCGAGCAGAGGCTCTGTGATAAGGGTTTGGAGGGAGGAAGGGATTGGATTTCCAGGTCTCGTCGATGTACTCAACGATGACGAGAGACTCAGAAATGGGTCTTCCGTTGTGGATGAGGACAGGGACCTTCTTGTGAACGGGATTGGACGTAAGAAGCTCTTGGCTTTTGTTGGAGAGATCTTCTTCAGAGTAATCGTATTTGATTCCTTTCAACTTGAGAGCCAGATCCACTCTGTTGCTGAAGGGGCTGGGCCATTTCCCCAAAAACTTCACTTGTTCTTCTTTTGCGGCCATCGTCTATCTGAATGCGATTAAGCTGTGTAGTAGTTGCAGTTAGGGTTATAGTGTTTAGCTCAGAAATCATTTGGTCAACGATGGCGGATTGGTTCCTTGGAGTTGGTGGGTAGGTAGGTGGGGAGCTTCCTGAAAGCTTCGTGCTATACAATATGACTTCATCATCTTCATTTTTTCTGCGTTTAGGGTCTTAGCCGTCCTCATCGCCGCAATATATTATTATTAAGCGTGGACCCTTCCACATTTTTTTTTGTTTCGGAAGAAATTAGATTAGTTTAATGTCAAATTCAAACAAAAAAGAATAATATTTTTTTGGTAATATTTTAGTTTGGTTTTGGAGGACTCACTTTAGTTCAGGACTCAGACAAATTATCCATTAATAACGTCCACACCAGCAACAAAATTTAAAGGGAAAATTTCATTGTAGGACCGCACAAGACAATTAATCTCAAAGAGCCCCCAAAACTTTCTGAAATCTCACTGCAGGACCAAGGGACCAATCTGATATTAATTCCACTAGCGAAATGACGCCACTACCCTTAGCATCAGGTGAACCAGTCCACATGTGAACGGACTGATTCCACGTGTGAATATATGTATTTCTTCTGCAAATTGGCTAGTTCCCCTTGCAAATGCGATCTCCCGCACTTGTTCTCTCACGGACACATGATTCAAGTGAACCAGTCCACATGTGAACAGACTGATTCTATGTGTGAATATATGTATTTATTCTGTAAATTGGCTAGTTCCCCTTGCAAATGCGTTCTCCCACACTTGTTCCCTCACGGACCCATACTTCAGCTGAACCAGTTCATATGTGAATGGACTGATTCCACATGTGAATATATGTATTTCTTTTGCAAATTGGCTAGTTCCCCTTGCAAATGCGCTCTCTCGCACTTGTTCCCTCACGGACGCATGCATCAGGTGAACCAGTCCACATGTGAACGGACTGATTCCACGTGTGAATATATGTATTTATTCTGCAAATTGGCTAGTTCCCTTTGCAAATGCGCTCTCCCGCACTTGTTTCCTCAAGGAAATAAGTTTCTACTAGGGGCAGTGGCGTCATTTCATTTGTGGAATTAATATCAGATTGGTCCCTTGGTCCTGCAGTGAGGTTTCAGAAAGTTTTGGGGGCTCTTTGAAATTAATTGTCTTCTACGGTCCTACAGTGAAATTCTCCCAAATTTAAATATATTATATAAGAGGTAGTCGATAGATTAAAAAAATTTATTAAGTCAGTTATTTGTAATAATTAAGTGTTGTTTATCTTAAAATATCTTTACAAATCATATATTAGCTAAAAGTATCATTTAATTAAACTTTTAACATGTGTAACTATTACAAGAATTATTTTGAAAAAAATGGATAGACATGGGAGATAAAGTGAATCAATGTTTTATATTTAGAATCAAATTTAAAATAAACTAGCTCTTATATCAAGGTATGGAGTACAGATAAAATATTTATCGACTGGGTTACTTTTGTTGGTGTCATTATCATTATCATTATCAGCTTCATCATTTTACATGGAGAAGAATCAAGGCTGAGCATTCTTTTGTTTGCTTTTTTGGTACAAGGGCTGAGCATTCTAAATGTGGATCCAGTATCCAAAACATCGATGGGTAAATTAAAGCATATGGGCTTGGGCCATTCTGGGTCTAGCTAAAGTTGAATTGTTGTATTACGTTGTTCACCCTTACCCCATAAAACATAGACATTTAGCCCATTCTTCTCTTTAACGGAGTATTTCGTTTTCTTTTTTTAATGTTGGTATAAAATAGAGTAGTTTTAGATACTGCCTCCAATCCTATTTATAAGAGTATTTAAAGAGATTAAAGAAGTAAGTTGAATTAGTTATTTATCCTAAATAGGTGTTGTTTTTCCTAAAATATTCTTACTAATCAAGTGTATTAACTAGAACTATCATTGTTAGAAGGGTTGCTTTAGAAAAAAAATATATACATATGAGAGACAAAGTGGATTGAGGTCTTATATTTAGGACTAAATTAAAAGTTAAATAGGGTCTTATATTAAAAACCGGAGGTAGTAAGTAATAACAAAGGCAATGTAAAGCAGGTGTATGAGTATAAAAACAAAAGCAATTCAATGTTTAGACAGTGAAAAATATGATTTTAATTTAGTTTATAAAAATAATCGAATATAACAAAACCATGAGATTGTTTAATAATATAATTTAGTAATTATATCATTTTTGGGTAGCATATATTTTGTGTGTCGCTCTGGCGTGAACTTTTGCTCCCAATATATTATCATAATTAATACTACTTTTGGTCTTTAATATAAGAGCTTTTTTAACTTTTATTTTGATACTAAATATAAGACCCTAATCTACTTTGTCCTTTATATTTATCTATTTTTTTAATGTAGTCCTTATAATAATAGTAATTCTAACCAATACACTTGATTAGCAAGGATATTTTAAGAAAGATAGCACCTATTTATTATAAATAATTAAATTAATTTTTTTAAATCTGTTCAAATTAGTTAATTAAATCTCATATTAAAAACTCGACGTAATATAGTTAAAAACACCCGAAAAGTAGTAGAAAAGGGAGAAGATTCTGGTTAAATGAAAAGGTGCAAGATTGCATGAAAATTTGTGACAGCTCCAATCCACATCTCTGTGACATTCAAATTTCAAAATTGTTTCACATTTAATAGAACCCAATGCTACAAGTTCATATGTTATACCCGGTCAAAAAAAAAAAAAAGTTCATATGTTATACACTATGCAGCTTCAAAAGCTGAAGATGGGGCTAATTTGAAATTTCAAAATCTGGTAAAAACAGAACAAGAAAGCTAACCATTGAAACGGAATAAAGAAAGAAAGTAACGTACCAACGTCTGTCTTTGCCTTTAATGGCAGCACGAGAATCCTGAGGGCTTTACTTTCCTTTTTTTCAAATTCAGACAAAACTTTATTCGCATTTTCCATCAGTCACAAATCAATTGTGACAAGTTTTCAACTTAAAGTGTGACCCAAACTAAGACTAGTTCATCTTAAACCAATGGTCTCTTCCACAATGATTTCTAAGTTTTTTTTTCCTTTTCATTTTAATTTCACGAATATATTTTATCGTATATTATCTTTTACTTTCTTTTTAAAATATGCAATTCCGGCGACGGCGGGATATTGGCCACTTTATGCCCCAACGGCAACGGCATTAAAAAAAAAAGACACCCCCTTTTAATTTAACCCAGGCATTATTTATCAATTACTCCTCCGGTCCTAATTATAAGACCCAATTGACTTATTTGAGGAGATTAAGGAAGTAAGTTAAGTTGGTTATTTATAATAAATAAGTGTTGTCATTCCTAAAATATCCTTGCTAATTAAGTATATTGGCTAAAACTATCATTATTAGAAGGATTATCTTGGAAAAAATGCATAAATATAAGAGATAAAATGGATTGGGGTCTTATAATTAGGACCAAATAAAAAGTCAAATGGGGTCCTATAATAAGGACCGGAGGAGTATATAGGTTAAGTTCCAACCAAGAGTAAACGCATGTTTGATAATACTGGATATGTTTAAAACAGTTTATAAGTAGTTTTTTAATAGTGATTTATGAAATACGAGGCAAGTATGTAAGAATAGTTTTGTCTCGGCTTATGGGAAACGTGCTTATAGGAGATTTCTATCGCTCTTCCAAACAGGCACACTATCTTTGATTCTAATTATAAGATCTGGTTTATAGACTACAAATAGGATATTATAATTAGGACCGGAGGTAGTATATAGACAATTTTTTAATTACGACTAAAACGAACGAAATCAAGATATAATTATAAAAAATGGTCGAACAATTACGACAGAATACATAGCATGCAAGATTTGTTTTTGGTTCGCTTTTTCTCACCATCCCTCTTTCATATGGGCCAGTCAAACATATTCGAAATTTTGAAACCATCCCGCAACTGTTTGATCGTAAAATTCCTCAGTTAGGGTCTTAACTCTTAAGCATATTTTTTTTGGGGATTATCTTAATAAACACTTTTTGAAAATAGGGATATGTACATATTATATATATATATAGAGTCATAAAGATTCCACATTTTAGAGAGAGAGAGAGAGAGACTTTGTAGCATCAAAGTCTGGCTGCTAAGAGCCAATCCATTTCAAAACCATCCTTCTTATTTAATATTATTTGTTATATGCTTGTCCACTTCAAAAGCAACCTTGTAAGATTCATTCTTTGTACTGCATTTTGAATATTTCACCCATAAGTTCCCTCACTTACATTAATCACCAAGCTTAAAATTTATACTATCTTCGATCCTTAATATAAAAGCTTGTTTGACTTTTATTTTGATCTTAAATATAAAATTTTAATATACTTTGTCTCTCATATTTTTTTTTTAAGACAATCCTTGCAATAATGGTAATTCTAACTAATATATTTGATTAGCAAAGATATTTTAGGAAATACAATACCTATTTATTATAAATAACTAACTTAACCGGTTTTTTTAATCTATTCAAATTAGTCAACTAGTTCTTATATTAAAGACAGCAGGTAATATATACCAATCATAACTCCTTCCTTTTCTTCAAATGATTTTTTTTTAAAATTTTATTCCTCTTCATTACGTAAGGATGAGGTATATTGCTATCCTCTCAAGTCTTCAACAGAGATCACTAACAAACCTCGTTTACGTTTGAAGCTTAATTGATTAGCCATCTCCTTTTCAAAAGATGAAACCAAAAGGCAAAATCTTATTACAGAGTCATACTAATAAATACCATACATATATAAAACGAAGAAATCATTATTGTTATACTTGGGATTAGGATTAACGGTGTCAACTTTAGTGGTATGATTAACTTTAAGCTTGATATATAAGCCAAGAAACCAGAGAGAGGGAGAGCCCCACACCAGAAGTGCTCAATCAAGTCGCTCTCTCTGAGCTCATTAATTATGGACAGTACTTTAATCCAACGCCAATATCATCTCAAGCATTGTGTCCCCTTATCAAGGCTCCGAACATCCACCAACGCCAATCAAAACCCATTCTCCAATTTGGGTTTCTGGGTCTCCAAAGTCTCTGGAGGTTTTTGCTTGAAGAGCATTCAGTATAACGATCACGATATGCCCGTTAAGGATTGTGCTTTCTGTGCTTCCTCACCTGAGCATGAAGATGAAGAGGAAGGTAAAGCTTCAAAAATGGGGAGCTTCATTCAGAGGATAGAAGCTGCCGTGGAAGAAGAAAAGGACACAAGAAATAGAGGTAAGATTGAAACTTCTGCCAATACGAGCCAGGATAATAGTCGCGAGAGCAGTTCTAGCTCCGATATATTCTCCTCGACGGGAAATGAAGAACAGAGTCGGAGCAGTTCGGAGGAGTCGACGTCATCTTCGTCGCCGCCTTCAGTGAAAAAGCCGGTTCATCAGAAAAATCCTGCTCCAGAGCTCACCCTTTCTCGTTCAATTGTTCATGGCGATCAAAAGCGTTTCCACATTAACAAACAGGACTCTGAGATATCCGGTACATTTCATTTCTCGTGTAGTCATTCTCAATCTTACTACTTCTACAACGTACATGCTTTTTCTGATGATTTGATTCTGATTGTGATTGCTAGAGATAGAGATGATGAAGGAAAGGTTTGCAAAACTGTTACTTGGCGAAGACATGTCTGGCTGCGGAAACGGGGTTACTACAGCGTTGGCTATATCAAATGCCATAACCAATCTATGTGGTAATGGTCATTAATAGGATTGTCTTTAGTCACTTCTGAAATGACATATCAGAAGATGCTCTGTTGGGATTATTACTTGTTTCTCATATCATTTTTGAGTTTGCAGCCACACTGTTCGGGCAAATTCTGAGACTGGAGCCTCTACCTCAGAAGAAGAAAGCAATGTGGAGAAGGGAGATGGAGTGGTTTCTTAGTGTAAGTGATCATATCGTTGAATTGGCTCCTATTTGGCAGACTTCTGCAGATGGAAGTAAGGTGGAGGTAAAGCTTCGTAAACAATGTTTTTTGAATTCCAGTTGGGCCTGGGCCTAACTTTTGAAATCAATCGGACTTCAGATCCGGCCCAACAGCATTTATATCCATTGATTCATCCACAACCATGGTAAGAACTGACAATGTTTTCTGTTTTACTCGTTGATGAAACAGGTCATGGGTAGCAGACCTCGGTCGGATCTTTATGTCAACCTTCCAGCTTTACGCAAACTAGATAACATGCTTCTTGTGAGAATATTTCGCTAACATTCATTTTTCACTGTACAGATTTGTATACGAATAAGCCATTTTTCATTTAATGAAGGTGTTTTTGCAGGATATATTGGACAGTTTTGTGGATACAGAGTTCTGGTACGTGGATCAGGGGGTTGTTTCTGCCTCAGATAATGAAGATTCATCTTCTGCTTTAGGAAGAAGACTTAAGCATCATGAGGAAAAATGGTGGCTTCCTGTTCCTCGAGTCCCTCCTTCTGGTCTTCGTGAACGTGTAAGAAGGCAATTACAGCATAAACGAGATTGCACCAACCAAATACTAAAGGCTGCCATAGCCATCAACACCATTACTTTAGCTGAAATGGACATTCCAGAGTCATACCTAGAATCTCTTCCAAAGGTATGTACTATATACATCATGGTTTTATATAATATTAGAAGATGTAGGTGATCAAATTGCTGATCCAACATTGTTTCAGACGGCACGAGCTGGCTTGGGCGACCTTATTTATGGGTACATAGCGTCAGATCAGTTTGCCCCTGAGAGCGTAGTAGACTGTCTTGATGTATCCTCTGAACATCAAGCCATGGATGTTGCTAATCGAGTAGAAGCTTCCATTAACATTTGGCGTAGAAGGGCTAATTCGAAACCTGTGAACGGCACAGCCAGATACAGCTCAAAAACATCATGGGAAATGGTCAAAGATCTGATGGTTGATGGAGACAAATGGGAATTGTTCGCTGAGAGAGCAGAAAGCATTATTATATCCTTGAGACAACGATTCCCTGGTCTCCCCCAATCAAACCTAGATATTAGCAAAATTCAAGACAACAAGGTTAGCATTCTCTCATTGCCTTTGTTCCATTGGATGATCTTGATGATCAATGAGTATAGCCATGAGTTAACCTACTAACACAAGCTAACTGTTTGGACCTGTTCTATTGTTAGGATGTTGGGAAGGCAATTCTAGAGAGCTATTCAAGGGTACTGGAGAGTTTGGCATTCAATATAGTAGCACGTATCGATGATGTACTTTATGTGGACGACTTGACAAAACATTCAGGGGATCGTTTTCCAGTGCCTATGCCAAGCACTCCATCTAGGATGTGTCTCACACCAACATTAACTCCTCCAAGAACGATGAAACCTTCCAAGGAAGAAAAAACTCCAATCATCAATAGCACGACGAAGAACAATATCGTTTCCCAACGAGGGGGAGGAGCCAAGAGAGTTTTGACAGATTTTTTTACCATTGATACCAAAGGGCAAAGTCATCGGAACTCAATTTGATCATCCCCTCAAGATACTGGACCAGGGATAGCAAACTGTCTTTGGATGAATTTGTTGTAGATGAAAAAGAATATATGAAGAAACTACTTGGAGCCTGATTTCAAAATATTGGCATTAGCTTAGGTAGATATGTAGTTTGTAGAGTATTAAAATTTCACGACGAAGACGATTCTAACTGGCTTTTATTCTTTCTTTTCTTTTTGCTTTGAACTTTGAATGTTTTTCTTCGGCCAAAAAAAAAACTACGAATTTCTACGGATACAGACAAGGGAAGCTAAGGAATGACATGGGCAGCGAGTAGTATCTGGCCATCTTAATTAAATGTTCAAATTTCCAGGGAAACGGTTGGGATTGCTGTACACATGAAAAGGGAGAAAAAGACAGTGGGGGCATTCCGAGAATTGAACTCGGGACCTCTCGCACCCTAAGCGAGAATCATACCACTAGACCAAATGCCCTGGTGTGGCGGGGACCCTTTTCATCTTAATCAGTCTATTTATGTAATTTACTGTTTTAAGAGTTAAATAATTAAACTTTCGGCAGACCAATTCACTTAAAATATTATCTTGAGCTCAATCCGCTCAATCCTCTCTGATCCTTAGCAAATTCCCCACCTTACCCTCACCATAAACCCTCCTCTAGTCCTCTGTGTGTGTGTCAAGCCAACCACCACCATTTCTCTAGAAAACAGCAACCGGAAAAATCACATACATTCTCTTGGATGTCAAAATTAGCTTAATTTGTACCTATTATAATATTTCACCAAAATGTAACATCTAATTAACTAATTTGATTAGATTGAAGAAGGTGGTTAAATTAATTAATATGATGTATTTTTTTTAAAACACCCTAATCATCTTTCTTAATTTCCTTCATTTGTCTTTTACTTGATTATTGTTAAGGAAATATTAATAAGATTAATTTGAAAAAAATTAATAAAAATGTAAAATAAGTTATATATATATAACCAATATCAACGTTTAAATTAGATTCTATGTTAAGGGCAGAAAAAATAACAACTTTGATTAAAATGTTATTTGTCATAAGTAATGTAACCCTCCTTCCCACACTTTCGGAGATCATACATTTTCATAAACTGACGACCTATTTGGATAAATAATTCCCAAATAAAATGCTAATTTGTTGATAAAGTGAAGCCAACCCTCCCTTTATAATTTACTTGAGCATTTTCTCAAACAAATGCCTAAAATCATCAATTCCTCTTATGAACCAAATTGCTGGGGAATAAATATCACTGTTTCTAGCAGAAGATCTCCATATATTCTCCCTCTTTAAAATGGTCTGATTTCTTAAAACGAAAAGCGACCTCCATATTAACATAGTTTATTGAAAATTTTAATCTAATAAAAGTTTGCACCCTTTCATTTATGTTTCAAATTAAATAATTGAGATTGAGGCAGCAACATAATATGCTCTTTTTGTCAGCACATGGTGGGTAATAATGTCTTGTGCACTTATTTCTTTTATGTTTCGAGTAATGTCTCATATAACATAATGAAACCCAATAGTTACAAGTCTAAAAGTCAAATTCAGTATATACCCCAAATTAGGCTATATCTTCGCCTTTAATTTCAGAATTTAGCAACTTTTAGATTAAAAAAAATAAAACAAAAGGCTAAAATACCTAAACATGGTTCAATTATTGATGAGAGAGTGCAGAATAAATGATAAATAGATCCTTGGATTCACCTTTAATCTTCATTAGATTTAGCTATTCTCTTCAAGAAAGAAAAAGTATATTAAAAAATTCAAATAGGTATATAAGTATTTTTGTTACTGTAAAATTATATCTACCGTATGAAATATATTTATTAGACATTTGCTAATTGGGGCCCCGGGGGGGTGGGAAGCGAAGAAGCATCATTGTGTTCATACTTAGATAATGACAAAGTATAGTGGAGCAATAAGAAAATATATCATTTGCAATAATGCAACCTCCATTAATCCCAGGAGGATGATTAGACCAGCCACTTTCTAATTCCAATTAGATTATAAAAATCCCTTCACAGCCAAAGCACTCTTCAACTCACAGTAAGTTCACTTGAGGGAAGAGAATCATTTTCAGAAAACCCAGAAATGGAGGCTCCTGTGAAATTCCTGTGCATTCTTGGGATGCTAGTGGTGTTTGTGAGCACTGCGGGTTTTGAGAGGGTTGAGGGTGCGGGGGAATGTGGGAGCTCTACCACACCAGATAATGAGGCTCTCAAGCTTGCTCCTTGTGCTGCAGCATCTCAAGATGCAAGTGCCACTGTCCCCCGGAGTTGCTGTGCTCAGATCAAGAAATTTGGGCAGAACCCTAATTGCCTCTGTGCTGTTCTGCTCTCCAACACCGCCAAAAGCGCTGGAGTTAAGCCGGAGATCGCCATCACCATCCCCAAGCGCTGCAACTTGGCTAATCGCCCTGTTGGCTACAAGTGTGGACGTAAGTATTATGACATGTTTGGTTTCACGTTGAAAACTACCAAAATATGCATTTATTCTTTCTTTTCTTTGCTATCCTAACATATATGTTTATGTATCAAGTGTGACTAAACTTTAGTCAGGTCCAAAATTCAACTTGATTTATACCTATCACTAGATAGATAGCTATTTGGCCAGTATCGGTTTATTTTATCAGTTCATTTTTAACATAAAATTGCTGATTTTTGCAGCTTACACTCTTCCTTGATAGAGGAAGCTGAGATAAAGGAGGACAAGGCTTAAGGAAGACAATAGCTGTTGGCAATAATTGTGAAAATAATTGTGTTGTATTCTCCTGTAACTTTAATAAGAGCTAGCAGCTCTTCATTGTCCATCCTTTATAATACATGACATTCCAGTTTTAAATGTCTCTGCAATAGTCTTCAATTAATCCCTTCTGTGTTTCAAAACCCCGGGGGGGGGGGGAAGAGAAGAAAAAGATCTACTTTTTACCTTAAATGATCCCAAGAAACTGTCTAATGCTCGAAATTTCGAATTCCAATTGAGCTAATTACTTGAGACCAGATTACACAGAGGCATACAACTTTAATATTTCTTCTCTGATCTCAACATGAATATAATGCTTTGGCCCAAACAAAGACCGACAAACCTAAACGGGTAATTGGTTGAGATCGCACAAACTGTCTCAAGCAACAAACGTCAATAACTAGAATTCTATAAAGAACTTTCTCTTTGGAAGGAGACACTGACAGTTCTTAATGGCATTGTGACTCAGATGTGATGGAAAGAAACTAAAGCCTAAAAGTGGAACTAACATCTTTGTCATGAAACTGCATTTAGCACTACACATAAGAAAGGAAAGAATGGATCATCTTTAACGACCAGACACAACAACTGCAAGATGTCTCTCTCTGTCCCATAATTAATGTTTAAGTACAGACATTCTGATCAAGAAGTAATCAAGGATAAGAACAATTAAATGGACAAGTTCATTAACACTGTTAGAAATTTTGCCCTCTGGACCACACCTTTCTTTTTTGGGGTCTGACAGGACCACAACTGTTCAAGATGGGTGTTTCTAACTTCTAACAGCACATGGCAATGCCTGTTCTTTTAGATCATGCAGTAAAAAGATGGTTCAAGAACAACTGCAATTCAGCGAAGTTTAAGGAATATATCAAATATTTCCAGAGAGGCTTATCATTACTTGTCAAAGCCCAGAATTGTGTTGTTTCAATGTTTCAGATATTTGACAGTACTGAAATTCAGTAGTTCATTACTTCACACTCAAGAAGTATGTATCATACTCTCTGTACGAAACACAGGCTAAACATAATTCGAGACCTTTGATTACTATAATAAAAAAATACGCAAGTATTTCAGTACACATTCTAGTGGAATCTAATATTTGTTTATATATGTAGCTATTCCCGACTCATCTTGCCCTCACTTTTGTGCACTAGAAAAATGAAAAATCGCATCAGAAATAACTAATTAGTAGTAAATATATATGTAGCATGTGTTAAAACTTTTGTATGAAACATGGCTTGAAATTTCAAGTTCCATATACATAGGCTGAAGATTTTGTCTGGGAGATGATATTTGCGCCTGTCAATATCTGCACTTCCATATAAGTTAATTTGATACGAGTATCTTCCATAACATGGACTCATGAACAGTTAATGTTAAACTAACAATTCTTTAGTATAACCCCTCCCTTTAAGTAATTTCCAGAGATATCTCACGAGAAAATAGATAAATTCAAATGCCAGTACTTTGACGATAAAATTATATGCACCTTTTATCAAAAACATTGCGTCCCGACTCGTGGCCTCCTCAATAAATATAAGAGCAAAAGTGGCAAGGCTGAAATCTCTGTTCTTGATAGATGTAACCCATATTAATTCTTATTTGTTCATTTCATCTGCAAAAAGAAACTACCTTGATGGAAATTGGAAAGTGAGGTGGCAAGAAAACAAGCTCTCTTTGTTAGCATACTGCGAGTAATGGCAACACCTGGAAGGCTCAAGTCCAAAAAGAAATGCTTTGGGAAGGATTTCACCTACTTTGATTAGACAGGAAACAGAGAAACAACATTGCGTTCATACTTTAAAACCATAGTCTTACTAACAAAGTGAAGTGGTACAATAAGAAAACCCATCACTTGTCTTAGTGCAACCTCCATTAATCCCTAGTGGGTGATCCCTAGACCAAGCACTTTTTAGGTCGAATTTGGGCTATAAATACCGCATCACAGCCAAAACATTCCTGCATCAAGAGATAGTGAAGAGGTAGTAGAAGAAGTCCATATTAAAAAAAATTTCAAAAAAATGGAGGCTGCTGTGAAGTTCCTATGCATTCTTGGGGTTCTGGTAGTGTTAGGAAGTGTTGGATTGATCGAGAGAGTTGAGGGTGCAGGGGAATGTGGTAGAGGGACCACACCAGATAATGAGGCTCTCAAGCTTGCTCCTTGTGGTTCAGCAGCTCAAGATGAAAACGCTAGTGTGCCTCAGAGTTGCTGTGCTCAGGTCAAGAAACTTGGTAAGAACCCTAGCTGCCTCTGCGCTGTTCTGCTCTCTGACACTGCCAAAAGCTCTGGAGTCAATCCTCAGATTGCCCTTACCATTCCCAAGCGCTGCAACTTTGTGAATCGCCCCGTTGGTTACAAGTGTGGACGTAAGTATCTATGAGATCAGTATACTATGATGAAACAGAATGCTTTGGAATTATACAATCACTATATAAGTATTATTATTCATTTGACCTTTTTTCATACTGTGCATACATTTCAACATCCATGTGCCTCTAATTCCAGTTTTCTGATATAAAGTTTCTGACTTTTGCAGCTTACACTCTGCCTTAAATGACAAGACAAGAACAACGAGGACTGGCTTAGAGACACTATTAATAGCTGCGAGCAATTACTTGGACAATAACTATGCCGTATTGTCTTGTAAATTATATCCAATAAGAGCTGGCAGCTCATTTGTGTCCATCCTCTATAAATTATGTGATTCGAGTTATATAATCTAATGATTCCCTTTTTCAATTACTCCAAAGGATTTGATTAGATTACCATAAATTGACTCGAAGACAAGCTAATCATCATACCCAAAAGGAAAATTGGAATATTTAAGTTACAGTAACTAGGTTGTTAAGTCTAAACGTGGCAAGTAATGTCTTTGTCGAGAACCAAGAATCTCTAACACTATAGTCAAGGAGTGCATAAAAGGATCTTCTTTTTAACAAGCAGACACAGCAACCGACTCAGGCCTGTGTCCCACCACGGAAGGATAAGGATTGACATCAAACGATTCATACTGTCATGTTATGATTGGGGGATGTCGGGAGACTCTGAAAACTTAGAATAAGGAAAACTGAATGGACAAGTTCGTTAACAAACTGTTGGACAGCTTTCCAGATGACAATCAATAACTATTCTTGCTGGGCCACACCTCCTGAATGGTCATTTTAACTTTGTGCAGCTGCGTGGCAGTCTCCGGTCTCTTGTATTTTGCAGAACAGAGAAACTTCATGAACTACAACCTATGGTTTTCCACTGTTTTCTGTAATATTTGATTGGACCAGTTTTAGATAAATTTCATGGCTAAAGCTGTGATTTTATTAGTTTTTTCAAAGCTGCTTTAGTCTTTGAAAATTAGTGAGCGCAAGAGTTAAATCCCCAAATAAAGGGGCAAAAAAAAGAAGGAAAAAAATCTCGTTACCCTAATGTCCTTTGATATACTAGTCAGTAGACCAAGAATGGATAAAGAAATCAACAAAAATTACTATTTTGGAGCTCAATATGTGCTTCATTTAACTAAAGTTAACTAGTCTAATAGTTTAGGTTCAAAATTGTCTATACAGTATAAAGTTAATTAACAAGAGGATCAGAATTCTGCTGATTATTAAAAGAAATATAATGGCCTTGGTTTATTTTTTCCCTTCAGAAAACGCAGCAATAATCCCTTCACTGGAACATCAACAACCATCAGTGTTTAGCAGTGAGGGTTCAAACCATCAAGAAAGGATAAAGATCTTGAGCAAAATATCTAGATGGTTAATCAGAGAGACTTTCGGTAGTGTAGATTTTCATCAGGAAATTTATGAAAGAAATACACATTATACAGCTTGCAGGAACAAAAATCTACTAAGCTTGATAATGGTAGAGAGAACAGGGAGTTCATTAAGCTTCTTAACCACACAAATGTACAATGGATTTGGGTAATACCTCTGCCATTTGCTCATTCATCTGAATTAAAGAGTAAGAGGAAACCAGCAGAGAGGGCTTCTTCAACTAAAGAAAATATACAGAGGGCCTAAAATATTCATAATCATCACATCTCAATTACAAATTTCAAAGTAATGGGAAATCAGCAGAGAGTAACTCTTACTTCAAAGATACATGGAGTTCACAGGATACAGAAACCTTAAAAGCTTTACAATAAGCATGAACGAGTACAAGGTTGGTAGCAGTAAAGCAGAAGTAATGTGAATTTTTTCATCACAGTATGGCTTGCTCATTCGGATATAAAGCTAGCAGCCATCAGCTGAATTCTTCCTGCTCTGTAACTCTCTCCCTTCAGCAAACACAGAAACTGCTAACTCATCTATCTTCCTATTTACCTGCAAGTTATATAATTGGCAAATAACTAATCAAATTCTGACCATGAATACAGAAAATATAACCAGAAACATATTTCTAAAGAAAAAGGATAAGATCCTCTCCTATCCCTCAAGAAACTCCGGTCATCTCCCTGAGGCTTCCTTTGAATTTGACCAAATGTTTAAACTTCCAAAAACGAAAAGCAGTGATCTTGTAAACAATAAGGCATTTAAAAAATGAGAATATCCAGAGTGCCATTCCAATTTATTTCAGAAAGTCAAATTTACCTTTATGAGCGTATAAATTGGCAAGTATGATCTTAATAATAGAGAGATCCTGTAAGACAGAAAGGTACAAGAAATCAGAAGAATGATAAGCTTGACGCGCGCGTGCGCGCACACCCAGAGGTAGGGGGAGAGAGCGATAAAATTAGACTAGTCAATCGAGTCTAAAAGGAAGAACCACATATCTATTAGATAAGCATATACCTTTCCACCAGTTGCCTCTTGAAGCGATTCCTGAATCATCTTCCCCCACATCCTTCTTGTCCTGTAAAAAATAATAAACCATATTAGGGATATAAAATAGCAGCGAATGCATATATCAACCCAAAGAGTAGCTGTTTATTTGCAATACCTTGATTTGACTTGAACTCAATACAGGGCCTAGTTAAAACGGTTATTACAGTTTTACTAACATGATAATCCTCCCGTTTAAGAAATACGCAGGCCAGTAGCCGTTGCAAGCCAAGCCATTGACAAAATTAACCAAATAACCAAAAGAAAAATAAAAAGTATAGAAATTTAAAAACAACCTTAGAGCCAGCAAATTAATTACTCGAAACCATCGAACGTATGTCTATGGTTTCCTATTTTATCTTGCTGCTGCTTTTATATTTTTGGATTGGTTTTTTAAGTTCATCTTAACATAACGGCACTAAATGTGATCCCATTTTGCAGCCTAATTCAAAAAACACTTGGAACCACGGAAAAGGTGCCAAAAGTGCTCGCCTTATGGTTCCAGATTGTATGTATTCCGCACTAGCCATTAATGGTGCTTTACCTCGGCACGATATATGGTAGCTGTAATTCTCTAAAGGGAGCAACTAGTATGCATCATTCTCTGAAATAATTTCAGGAAATATATGAAAAGGAAATAAATGAAAGAATACACTTGCCAAAGAGTTTAATCCTGCATTTTCTGTACTTTGAGGGTGATAGTACACGTCCTGGCCTCCGTAAAAGATGGAAGAACTAAGGGGGCAAGGCTGAACTCTTTGCTCTTGATAGATGGAACTCGTATCCTTATTTGCTCTGCTCTGAGTGTCATTGTCATGCATCCTGGAGATATCATCTGCAAAGGAAAATAATAAGGAAAGCTCACAAATTAATCCAAATATTGGATACAGGGTCAAGAACTTGTTGCTTCATATATGAAAATATGAGAAAGCGCACACTCGTAAATAGAAGAAAGCTCTCCATAGGAATGTCAAACAAGATGAGGATATAAGCACTGAAGATTATGAAAAACAGATGCAAAAAGAAATGATCAAGAACTACCATGTGATTTGATCAAATAACACCCAATATACAAATCCGTAAGAAGAAAGCTTAAATCAGAGTAAACCTACCACGAGTTCCGCTTGGAGTTTTCCCCCTCAATTCAGAACGCAGAGATTCTCCCCCTAACATCTGAATCAACACAACCATGTAAAATCTCAGAGAAGCTAATAGACTTGAAATGAATTTGATGATGTTTGAACTGAGTTATAGATTCAAAACAAAACATCCGAGACAAGCCAAATCCAATCATTTAATAAACAATCTTCTATAAATGCCCATTAGCCAAAAATAGAGGAGAAGCTCAAGAAATGAAATCAAGACCTTTGAGGAAGGAGAAAATATGGAGCCGAAAATCCCAGAGGATGAAGACGGGTGAGACTCGTTGGACCCAAAGAGTTCAGAAGTGAGTGAAGAAGAAGACGAACCCAATTGATGCTTCTCTCCCATTCTCTTTCGTGAAGCCCCTCAAGTCAAACTCTTAACTGAATCCTTTGAGCAAGAGTGAGATTTATAAACAGACAATCCCACAAAGAAACATCAATCACCGCCTGAGGAAGTCTTCAAATGAGAAAAACCCGATTAAAAATTTTCAATGGGAAACCAACAGGTAGAAGAAGAAAACGAAATAGAAAAGGGGGAGGCACGTGAAAGAGTCACTCACGAGAGAGAGAAAGTTCTCTTGATTCTTGAATTGCAACGAAACCGTCGTTCACAGCACAGCCATTTATAAGGCAGAAAAGACGGCCCCCGAAGGTAAAAGCTTGCATTTTTTATTTTTATATTTTATTATTAATATTAATATTAATAGTATAATTAATTTCTGGTATTTTCTCCTCGAAAAAGTCCTCCTCTTCGTCTTCGCCGACGAGTCCTCTCGTCTGCAAGACACCGAGACGACGAGAAACGAATTTGCTCTGCACCTCAGTTTCATGTTGCTGCTCTCGTTCTTGAACCTTTAACAGATTGGCGCCACATGGGTCCCGGGAGCCCTTCGAATGGGACCCACGAGCAAGCCCCAGCCTTTAACTTCCACCAGGGCCTACTGGATAAGGGAACGGATTTCTTATTTAGTCTTTTTATTACCCAATTTTTAATGTATTTTTATATAGTCCATATTACTCACAACTTATTGCAAACGATATATATTTATATATTCCTATATTAATTGAGTTTATTTATAAATTTCTACTGAATAAATATTTCATCATAAGCATATATGTGACTTAAACTTCGAATTCTCGGTTTTGAATTTTTCGGTAATATTGTAACATAATATAAAAAAAGAATAATGCAAATTAGATATTTTCCATTCATATACGGAGAGAGATAATGATTTAAGACAATATCGTTGTATTTTTTTGGGCTAAAACTAACATGGTTGAATGATTGATTTAAACGTAATGAATTAGAATTTTATATAGTAATAGTATAAAAATAATATGAAAAGGAATAATGTAAGATAATGCAAACTGGATTTCTTTTCCCCCTTCATGTTATTTGGAGAGAGGATCATATTTATAAAATCTATTTTATTTTTAATATTTATCTATTTTCCTCACAAATAATTTTTATAAATATTGCAATAATTGTTTCAATATATATGATTAACAATAATGTTTTAAGAAAGACATCATCTATTTATTATAAATAATTTATTTAACTAATTTTTTTTCATATCTACAAATTAATTATCTAATTGTCATATTAAAGACATGGGCTAGTAGTATAATTTTTTGATCTAGTCCCTTGAGTGGTGTGATTCACTTCTCATAATTTTATCTCTTCCACTTTCTGTTTTCAAATGCATATTCCGTTTTTTCGCATTAATTTCACATTCTTTTTATAACTATACTTTGTTAAATAATTTTATAAATTTCGAATGATGTCAAATTACTTTTTAAAAAAATCGGGAATCATGTATACATGTACTACCTTCAGTCCTTAATATAAGATCTCGTTTGATTTTTATTTTAATCCTAATTATAAGATCCCAATCTACTTTGTGTCTCATATTTATACATTTTTTTCAAGGTAGTCCTTCTAATAATGATAGTTCTAACTAATAAACTTAATTTGTAAGGATAATTTAGGAAAGACAACACCTATTTATTAGAAATAACTAATTTAACTTATTTCTTTAATCTCCTCAAATTAATTAATTAGCTCTTATAATTAGGACTGGAAGTATTATATACACAAAATATGATAATTTTATGGTGAAAATTCCCCTGGGGGGAGGATGAGAGAGATTGGAGTTCTGCATAATATGACAGGTTGGAAATAAATGAAATAATAAAAAGGATGGAGTGTAATAATGGAGGAGGAGGGTTTGGGTTTGAATCTAAATTTGGAGTTTCCCTTTTTGGATGCTTCTGAGTTGATTCTTTTACGGTCCAGGCAGTGCCAAAAGAAAAGAAAAGAAAAGAAGAAAAAAAAGAGTGACAAGATCTCATCTTATTCTAGTAATTGACCTTATCTTTTCATCTTGTGGGACCTGACCTCCTGGTTTTTTAACATCTTATCTTTTCCCTTATTTATTAGATTTTTCAGGGAAATTAATTGAAAACTTAATTCATTTTATTTATTCATATTTATCGTTTTTCTCAACTAACTTATTTAATTTATAAATTATTATATAATTTAATATTGTATAAGAATATTTTGAAGGGATCAAATAATTTATATACTTTTTAAGATATTTAAATTAATTAAATAGTTATTACTCCTTTATTAAAGATGAAACGAATACTTTAAACAAATACGCTTCTGATTCTTAATATAAGACCCATTTAACTAATTTGATTAGATTAAGGAAGTTAGGTAAGTTAGTTAATTATAAGAAATGTAACATGTTTTTCTTCAAAATACTATAATCATCTTTCTTAATACTCTTTTTTCCTTTTCTACTTGATTATGGTTGAGAGAATATTCATAGGGATAATTTAGAGAATATTGATAACTATAAGAAATTAGTTTTATATTTAGGATTAAAATCAACTCAACAATTGAGTCTTATATTAAAGATCAGAAGAGTAGTAGTATAATGCCCATTGCCCAAAATAACCTGTTTGATTCGGTGGGGAGAGCAAAGGAGGCATGCTGCTGCACTCCCACCCTATTGTGCTTGCTCACCCTATCCGCCTACGCCATTATCTCTGAGACAATTTTCATTAAAAAGTAAAAAAAATAATATATTAATAAAACCTTATGAAAAAGATGTACTCCTTTGGCCGTATTTAAACGGTAGAAAGAAAAAACCATTTTTTGTTATATTATAGAACATTGAGAGAAATTTTTTATATCGATATATAATTTTTTAATACAATTTTTTATATCGATATATGATTTTGTTTGCATGAGTTATAATATATATTAAGTAGGGATAAAATTAAAAAATTATTGAATTTTAAATAAAGGTTAATAAAATTTAAGATGTTTCTTGGTATGTATGAAACAGGTTAGAAATGACTTATAAACAAAACCAGAAGATATGTGCTTAGATTATATCACTGTCCTTAAGTAAGAAAATTACAAAATTAACATTATCTTCAATCATTAATATAAAAACTAGTTAGGGATTAATTTGGTTTTGAATATAATACTTCAATGCATTTTATTTTTTATTTTTCTCAAAATATCCCTGTTGATTGTTAGAGCTTCCTATCAAGGTGTGGTTCTAATACACAAAAGTATAAGTTTAGGAAAATCAATATATACTATTTGTTACTAATAACGTACTTAACTAGTTTTTTTAATTAGTTAGCTAGCTCTAGAAATTAAAAATTGTCAAAGAACGAGGATTTTGATATGAATGACAAAGCAAAACCCATCAATGTGTTTTGGATAAGAACGCTAATTAAGCTAATTATCGATTGGCCACAAGATGATCTGAAAGGAACGATGATGACAAAATAAGTGCTACTTGGACCTCCTAATTCAGATATTTATTCATTTAAGGTAAGATAAGTACGACATATTAATTATGATTCAATTCAGTTCAATCTCGATAACGATATATATATATATATATATATATATTGTGGCGTGTTCAATAAATGAATTATGAATTAGTGATATGATAATTAAAGACAGTGGATAAGCAGAGATTAGTGACCAATGATGAAAAGAGGGGCCATGTGGGGACCACCACGCAAGAATATGTCAAAAGGAGTTGTTGAGGCACTACCAGTGGCTTCAACTCAACCACTAACCGCGTCATATATCTATATGTATAGAAATATATACAAATTATTTTTTTTTTGGTTATGGAAGAAACTCCCCCGCCGATCATATTTACAAGTTTAACACATAATCCTATGCTTAAATAAGATTTGAAAAACCCCAATTTAAAAAAAAGTTTATTTCAATGTTTGTTTAATGAGATCGATTCATTAAGCTATGGTTAGCCCGTGTGAATTGCAGTAATATTTTATGATGAGGATCATATTGGCTCAGCATGTGTTTCCAAGCAAAAATAATGGAGTATGTGACCAAGGTTTTTCTTTTCTTTTTTTTGTTTAAAAAGCAAATAGTAAAGCAGCTGGAAAATATTGTATGTGGCAATCCCACGTATCTGCTGGAAAGAAGAATTAAAAATACTAGTACTCCTCCAGCCCTTAATATAAGACCCATTTAATTAAATTGATTAGATTAAGAAAGTTAGGTAAGTTAGTTAATTATAAGAAAAGTAACACATTTTTCCTAAAACACCATAATCATCTTTCTTAATACCCTCTCTCCCTCTTCTACTTGATTATGGTTGAGAGATTATCCATAGGAGTAATTTAGAGAAACTTGATAAATATGAGAAATGGGTCTTACATTTATTACCAAAACCAACTCAATAATTGGGTTCTATATTAAGGACCGGAAGAGTATTAATTTTTTATTTTGATGGACATCTTATAAATAAAGCATCCAATATTATTTATATAGAAGCATTTTGTAATCTAATCTCGTGAAACACATTTAAAAATCTGAGCTTTGATGATTTGAAGTTAATTTTATCTTCAATTGTATTACTCCTCCGGTCCTTAATATATGACTTAATTTTTGAGTTAGTTTTGGTCTTAAATATAAGACTCATTTCTCATATTTATTAATTTTCTCTAAATTGCCCTTATAAATACTCCCTCAACCATAATCAAGTAGAAGAGAGAGATGGGGTATTAAGAAAGATGTTTATAGTGTTTTAGGAAAAATGTGTCACTTTTCTTATAATTAACTAACTTACCTAACTTTTTTAATTTAATCAAATTAGTTAAATGGGTCTTATATTAAGGATCGGAGGAATATATTCTAACTCCACTGCATGGAGTCTATATTAATTTATAGAAAGTTGTATTATTATGAATTTATTGTTATAAAGTATAAATACAATACGTATCAGCCTCGTATTGAAATTGACAAGCTGGTACAGTCTTTTTTTTCCCGATACGGTGTGGAAGTCTTACCAATACGTCCAATTATATTGTTTATGTCCAGATGGTGTGTAAGTTCCATCTGGTTCATACCAATTTATTGTTGAATAGTAATTTTTTCAAATTGTATCTATCGATTAGTCCATTCAAATTGAAACAAGTGTAGTGAAGAATCCAAATCAACAAAAAAGTTGAACGTAATCGCAGTTTTTTCAATTAAGTCATATTCATTATTTTATTTTATATTCTTTTTTTTGCCAACTATTTTATTTCATATTCATAAGATACGTATTTTCCATAAAATAAAAATAGATACGATTAGTAAAAAGTAATGTGTAAAAAGATCTTAATCTTTCCTTCCTATTTGGATTTCTTTTCCATATTACTCCTCCGGTCCTAATTATAAGACCCAATTGACTTATTTGAGGAGATTAAGGAAGTAAGTTAAGTTGGTTATTAATAATAAATAAGTGTTGTTATTCCTAAAATATCCTTGCTAATTAAGTATATTGACTAAAACTATCATTATTAGAAGGATTATCTTGGAAAAAAATGCATAAATATAAGAGAGAAAATGGATTGGGTCTTATAATTAGGACCAAATAAAAAGTCAAATTGGGTCTTATAATAAGGACCGGAGGAGTACAAATCTAAAAGTAATCTTTAAATTTACCGCCTTTTCACCTACCAGCAGTTTCTTTTTCTTTTTCTTTTTTTTGCGTTGAGCAATAAATTAAAAAAAAAAAAGGATAAAACACTTTAAAAAAGATTAACCGAATATCATCAAAGTATTCTAACTATGCATGATAATATTAAATAAGAAAAGTAATAAATAATTTCTTAATTTCCTACTGGACCTACTCAATTATTAAGGAGACAAATTCTGTTTGACACCAGTTCAATAAATACTACTCCCTCCATTCTTTATTATAAGAGACATTTGATACTTATGGCATGTTCCTATATATAAAAGACACTTAAAAGTTGTTTCTACTTTTTTGTGTTGATTTCCTATTTTACCCATATTTATTATCTCCAACTCACACTCTCTCTCCCTCCCCCTTCTCTTTCTTTTAATAATTTAATTATTCTCTCTCATGCTCTCTCTCCTTATTAATGAGGGCATTTGTGGAAAAAAATTATACTTTTTACACATTAATTGTTTTAAACTAATTTTAACTATTTTTTTGATCAACGTACTTCGGTTATTTGTCTCTTATAATAAGGAACGGAGGGAGTATAATTAAGCTCTGGCAAAAAACTAAATATGGTAATTAAGCCGCTGATTAAATTTGACGTGCAGTGTATAGTAAACTATCTAGCCCTCAAAATTGTTTAAGAAAAAGCAGTGCTTATGCTGTGCTAATTATTCTGACGCTGTGGTAACCCACAATCAAAATTACCATTAAATTAAATCTAAAGAAACTGATGGCAATAGTAATTATTATCAAGTTGAGGTTAATTAATAATTATTCATAACTGTTTCGGTTTTGACACTGGAGTATGAGTTATGTAGTTCGAATTTTAGAACAAAAGAACACACACACAAAAAAACATGTGGAAAATGATTTTTTAAGAAAAGGGTTCACACAATTCTAGCTTAGCACGTCAAGGAATTAGAAGCTGGAAAAAACCAATTGGAATACAAACACATACAATAACATTTAGTTATGACTGACCTACTTTTTTCCTCCTTTTCTCTTGAAGTCAAATTTCAGCACTCAAAATGTCGTACATCATATCCATATAAGGGAACGTGAATTCCACCTTTTCTAGTTTGAATGATCACTGCATTTTCTTGCCCACAAGTCTTGTGAAGCTTCTATTTCTGCCCAAAAAATAATTAAAAAAGATGATTAGTTTGAGAATAACAACTCCGATCAGATTTTCCTTAAATAGGAGGCAGCATGAACCCTCCAAGCCAAGCCTCAATTATGTGATATGTATCATTATTTGCTGTTGTAATAATTATTCTTTTGATGGACTGAAGTTGAGGCCAGTTGGATTATGAGATTTTAATAGAATTAGGTTTGTCTCTTATGGATGGAATTAAAGATCATTAACAAAAATACTTATAATTATCCACTCCTGAAGAGCTTTTGATATTGGTGTGGTAGTAGGCTGAAATAATCCATAGTTGACTAATTTGAGTAGATTAAGAAAGTTTATTGAGTTAGTTATTTGTAATAATTAGATATTGTCTTTCATAAAATATCCTTATTATTCATGTATATTACTACCTCCGGTCCTTAATATAAAATTTCATTGGATTTTTGCTTTAATCCTAATTATAAGACTTCAATCCTCTTTGTCCCTCATATTTACGTATTTTTTTCTAAGGTAGTTCCTCTAATAATGGTAGTTTTAGCTAATAAACTTGATTAGTAAGAATATTTTAAGAAAAAAATACCTATTTATTACAAATAACTATCTTAATTTATTTTTTTAATCTCCTTAAATTAGTTAAATAGTTCTTACAATTAGGACCGGAGATAGTAATTAGTTATAACTACTATTTGATTGAAACTTTAGCACAAAAATATAAATAAATTTGAGAGACAAAGTGAATTGAGATTTTATATTTAAAACTGAATTGAAAGTCAAATTAACTCTTATATTAAAGATTAATTGGAGGTGGTATATATTCTTACTTTAATTGCTAAACTAATATTTGGTGGCGTTGTTATTGTTATCATTTTAATAGAATTAGGTTTGTCTGTTATGGATGGAATTAAAGATCATTAACAAAAATACTTATAATTATCCATTGATGAAGAGCTTTTGATATTGGTATGGTAGTAGGCTGAAATAATCTATATACATGTGTAGGATAGATACAAGTTTTATATATTATCTTCAGTTCTTAATATAAAAGTTAGTTGATTAATTTGAGTAAATCAAGAAAGTTTGTTGAGCTAGTTATTTTGTAATAGTTAGGTATTATTTTTCCTAAAATACTCTTACTAATGATGTATATTAATTAATTAGAACTATCATTTGATTGAATCTTTAGCACGTTTATCTATTACAATAACTACTTTGAAAAACATAAATAAATTTGAGAGACAAAATGGATTGAGATTTTAATTTCTATTTAAAATTGAATTCAAAGTCAAATTAACTTTTATATTGAGGATTAATTAGAGGTGGTATATATTCTCACTTTAATTGCTAAACTAATATTTGGTGGCGTTGTTATGGTTATCATTATAACGAAATAAGGCAACAGAATGTTTGGTAAAATAGCAATTATTGAAAAACTCACAGAGAGCACAATATCCCCAAAGATCTCTCTGGTCAAAGGATTCCAATATATATAACTTGCATAAAGAAGTTTGATTATTCTTCCGACTCATGATAAGGCTAGTTACTTCAAGAGCCATCTAACCTTAGTTCAATTCCTTGATGTCATATTATCAGTATTCTCAAAATCTTTGACGAGGTCTAAGGAGTTGATTCCACCGACATTAGAAGCTATTTTTCTATCCACTTCTAGAAGACAAAGCGAACCTCGCTCAACTAAGTTGCCACCCTACACAATAATTAAAATTTGAATTCCCAACAATATGTTTAATGAGCGAGCACCAAGATTCAGTGTATATATATTCTAACTCTCTAACATATGTGGCCGAAAAACTAACTCTCATATGTACGTAAGTATGAATTAGATGTTTAATTATTTTGTTTGCGTGATATTAATGCGTTTTTTTTCCTTCTTTTAACAATGGCAGTTTAACTAAATTTTGTAATTAATTAGGGGTCATTTGTTGCCTCTTAATTTTCTGTATTGAATCAAGGCCCACATAAAGTTAAAGAATTAATAAGGTAAATAATGAAGGCATTATTATAAGTGAAGGACGTTGGACCACAAGGTACGTATACATAACCCATTTTAACTTCTCCGGAATTGACTGTGACATCGCAATCTTGTAATAAATAAAATAATATGGTGTGGATTATGTAATAGTAAAGCCAACACAGCTTTTGAAATATACAAGTGACTTCTTGGAAGTCACTGGAACATGTGTGATCAGTGATCATTTTCCTTACGTAATTCTTTTGGTAGAAGTAAAGGGGCAGCTTCAAGTAGTTATTTATGCAGAGTTATATTTCAAATAAATTAAGCATATAAATGTGAGAGGCACGTGAAAGAATAATAATAGGATCATCTTTAATTTTCACTGCCTTTGTAGGAGTCTTGGTTCGTTTTTACTTTTCCCTAAGTAGGAAAATTCTCAAGGTAATGGTTGATTCCAGAGGTTACGTTCATGGGTTAACCAACCTACATATTTTTAATATTTTTCATCACTACTTAATTAATCAATCAATCAATTAATTGTTGATATACCTGAAGGGGAATGATAGTATTTTCAAGGATTTGGACAACTGGGATAGAATCATATACCGTGGTTAGCAATAGTCAATTCGCATGTGCAGCAATTTTCTGGTCCGAAATATATATACGAGACAAATTAAAACAGCAATTCCTAATCAAAAGTTTTCATGTGATTCTTAAACTCTTTCCAGCTGGTGATTGTAACCAAAGTGAATACACTGTATGTAGTCTGATAATGAGAACACTTTTATTATTTTTGTCATCTTCGCAAGAACCATCATTTTCTATATGTTTCCCAATAACAGTATCAATATCCAGTTTCTGAGTCCAAAAAAAAAAAATCCAGTTTCAAAACATTAATAGCCAACTTCCAAGCTTATTAACAATAAAAAAGTTCATCCTAGTTCGGGTACGTGATAGACTGATAGGTATATGTATGCGTATACTCCTTTTTTCCCGGTGGAAGCATACGTATGCCCTTGATCTACATGCTTAAGCAGCTGTGGGCCAAAAAAAAAAGAAGAAAGAAAGAAAGAGAGAGAAACCATTTTTGGGGGAGAAAAAAAAAAACGCCCGCTTGCAAATGCGAGCCTTGCGCGCGCCGTTGCTATTGGTTTGAATCGACATGAGGAAAAATAGGCAAAGGCGTGAGCGGCAGGATTCGAACCTGCGCGGGCAGAGCCCACATGATTTCTAGTCATGCCCGATAACCACTCCGGCACGCCCACGCGACATGTTGCGGGGTATCCATTATTATTAATTCTAGATAATTTTCACTTTAAATTAAAGATCCAGCCCATAATTCTTAGCCCAGAGCGAAATTCCATGGGCTTAGACGGAGGCCCCAAAAGAGCCCATAGCCAGATTTCTTCAATAATTATTTTATTCGTATTAAAGATGAATATTAATAATTAATAACTAATAATTACAATGATGAAAAAATAATAATAATAAATGTTATTACCACGTGGGAAAAGTAACTTAAGATTCTTTCCGATGTATTACTGTTCTACCTTCTGTCATTTGCAGGACAGAGTTTGGATTTCCACTAATGGCTTCAAATTTTTATCGAGATAAAGTATGGACACTAGACTGCCACAATTCTCCCTAAACATTAATCAAGATTTCGAAGAACATGCGTTCTCGGGCAAGTTGTGAATTGCGAGTTTTTTGTTGAATAAATTTCGCATTTTAGTACAATTTAGTTAAAATATACATTTGGTATTTTAATTTTATACATAGTTTTAGTTTGGTCTTTTAATTTTAAAAAAATATATCTTTAGTCATTTAAACCTAAAATTGTTAGTCTTAAAAGATATTTTTATAAAAATAATGGTTGTTTTAAAAATTGAATTTAATGTGTTAGGCTGTTAGCATTTGAAAATATTTTATTAATATTTAAGATCTAATATCATCATTTTCTAATGGTTTTGGAATTAAAAAACTAAAAATATATATTTTTTAAACTTAAGCTATCAAATTAAAATTTTGTATAAGGTTAAAAAAGTTAATATAATCTTTAGTCATTAAATTTGTCATCATTTTGGTTTAAGCCCATCAAATTTAAAACCATAGATTTTGGTTTCTTAAGAGCAAAATGATCCAAATTTTTATTAAGTTATAGAGACTAATACTTTAAATAAAAAGAAACTTAAAAGACTAAAACTTATGGTTGTGGTTAGTTTTATCAAGTTAGTTACGGCAATAGAATATGGATGCATGGTCGTTGAAGCAGTTCAGTGCGTCTGTGACCACAAGTCCATCGAGTACCCTGTGGTTTGCAGTGAAAGTGGCAAAGTCATCGTTTCTCGTCTTTTTGTTTGATATTTGAAGGGGTTTATTTCTGCAACTCTGTATGAAGCTCTCACAATGTCCATTCTTAGACTGCGAAAGGAATTTTATCAGATTTGACATGTGACACTGTGACAGTGATGGAAAAATCGACAAGTTTATAGGAGATAAATCTAGTTTGCCGCCGCTCCATGAATTGAAGGGTGAAGGTGATGCAGATGGCAGTAATATAGAAAAATATTATAAGGGGATGTTCTTGGATGGGGCTTATGCGGAGGCGATCAGAGGATTCCATAATCTATATTTTATTTGTATAAGCGTATTTTGACTTAGTGATAAAGTTACTTTATATTTTTTACTTAGAAAGAGTGCAATGACTTTTATGCCAACCTCTAGTTACATTTTTTTATATCCCCTAGTAGAGGATATGGAGATGGACTAGCTGATTACAAAGTTGAGGAGGACATAGTTCCATAATACAACTTTTTGGGATGTTTGTGTGTTGTTTTTAGAGAAATTTGAAAGAAATAGGATATTTAATACGTCTTGGGTTTGAGAAGGGGGTATGGATTAGGTTTTGCCCGGTGGCTCATAAAATTGT